TAGGTATAAAGAGTGTTAGACAGTAGTGTGGCGCTGAGAAAGGTCAGCCAGGTAGAAAGGGATCCTTGAATCAGACTTACCCTTTAGGAGTCCTGGGTCTCAAAGGTGGCATACATTAGTTTGCATTAGTGCCTTTCACTGCCTGCATGCGTCTTTTTTACATCACTATAATGACCTATCAGAGGCAGGCCAGTTTATAATGGAAGGGGGTTAGTTTCAATCTATGCTTCTGGGAGTGCAGGGAATTTTGTCTAGTGACTATGTTTTTTTCTTTTTTGAAACAGGCTCTCAAGTAGCCCACACACTAGCCTTGAAATTGCTATGTAGCTGAGGATGATTTTGAACTCTTGATCTTTTTGCCTCTACTTCAGATTGCAGGCATGCGACACTGTGTCTGGCAATGATGATGACCTTCTTGCTGACAGAGTCATGAAGTCGTGAAGCATTGCGAAGCATTGCAGGACATTGCATGGAAAGAGACAGAAAGTGGACGTGTGTGTGTGTGAGTGTGTGTGTGTGTGTGTGTGTGTGTGTGTGTGTGTGTGTAGCTGTGCCTGGCCTGGAACTCCTTGTGCAGAGCAGGTAAAAACCCTGCAGCCATCCTCCTGTCTCTGCAGGGATTGCGGGCATGTGCCACCACGCCTTGCTTCGATCCCTTTTAGTCATATTTTTAATTGAAAATTACAGTTTGTTTGACTTATTTCTTGAGTGGGTCTGCATATGCTGAGGTGTCTGCATGGAGCGAAGTCAGAAGGCAGCTTGCTGGAGTTGGTCTTCTACCGTGCTGGCCCTTGGGATGCGATGCAACTCAGGTCGTCAGGCTTGTTGGCAAGCATCTTTAGCTGCTGAGCCTCCGCACTGGCCGCCAGGATTCATTCACAGGGAAGTACTAGAATGACGTCAATCTTAATCACCTTTCAAAGACCCCACCTATATTAATCTCACAGTTGGATTTCGTTTCTGCCTTCCTTCACAGAGCTTCATTTCAGCCTGAGTTCGGATACAAACCATATTGAAATTCCAGCACCCCTCATGCACACTCTGCTAGTGTGTGAGGTGGGTGGGTGAAGAGTAGCAGGCTGGGCAGTGACCAGCCAGCGTGTCGTGTCCTCCCCCCCCCCCCAGCAGGAGACCACAGGGCGTCTACACGGCTGTTGTGCCCCTAGAGCTAGGAAGAGGAAGTGCATCTAGGGCGAGGGCAGAGTTGGCCTGTTAGCCTTCCTCCGCAGTGCACTGCGGGTCTCCTTTGAGATGACTCTCTCTAACCTTGACCCTGTTTCTTGAAAAGAGGGAGGTGAAGGTTCCCAAATACACCAGGGTGAGGGGTTAGTCTAGGGGCTGTCGTATTACCAGGAATTTGAGGCAATATATAGAGGGAACAAAGCGGCTGAAGCCAGGATGCGGTGGCTAGATTGCTAGATGGACTTTCATGAGAGGAAGTCTCTACCATGGCTTCCTTCCGTTGGGGTTGCTACTCTCTGGGGATCCCAGGCAGCTTGGCCTCAGCCTGAGGAGTTCTCACAGGTTTGGCCCAGAAGGGCTCCCTTCTGCATCGCTGGCTGAAGTGAAGCCCAGGGCAGTGAAGCTCGAAACTCGCCTTGCAGAGATAGTTCAAGGCCTGTCTAGCTTTCCCCGCAGGTTGCTCAGGCAAGAAACCGGGTGGCAGAAACTGAGACCATACAGAAAGAAAGTGTGAAGCCGAGAGCACTCGTGTGGAACCAGGAAGATGGCTCAAAAGAGGATGCGAGGGTGGTTGTGTGTGCAGTCCGAACTCCCGGCACCAGCTCAAGTGTTTCCCCCCCCACAGCTGAGCCTGTCCCCAGGGTGTAGACTGGTTCCAGTTTTCACTCATTTTCACTGACTTTTGGTGCTTTCATCTCCGGTGACTAAATACCAGCCCAGAGGACCGTTCAGCCTGCTTTTGGCTGGAGGCTAAGGACGCAGGGCTTAGGGGTGCAGTTCAGTGGAAGAGTGCTTGCCTCGCTTGAGTGAGAGTCGGGGTTTGCTCCCCAGCACCAACACAGCTATCAGGCCTGCTCTTCCCATGCTGTCCTTGTGTTCTTCCTTCTCAATAAAAAGGAGTGAGTTTAGTAGCCATGCACGTCTCAGGACATTGTCCCCTGGGGGACATGATGACGGCTAAGGAGGTCCTGGGGTTCAGCTCCCAGCACCTATGTTGGACGGCTCACAGCTGAATCTAACTCCAGCTCCAGGGGATCTTGCACCTGCTCTGGACTCCAGGGGGCACCAACATGTTGCCCTTTGCACTTTTCTGTGAATCCCCACACCCTATTTCGGCGCGCACGCGCGCGCGCGCGCGCGCGCGCTTTCCTGACTCGAGCCCACGAGAATGGATGACTGCCCTAAGGGTTGAAGCACAAAGACACAAGAGACCTGCTCATTTACCAAAGAGTAAATGGCCACTTTATTAAACTCAAGTTGGGTATATATATTAGTGGGCAAAGGGGGCAAAAGGGCAAGGCCCCCTCCCATCAGGAGCAGTGGGAGAGGAGGGCAGGTGCCCAGCGCCCAAGGCCAGAATCAGCTGCTGGAGACAGGTGTGGCAGGCGTATAGGGCCTGCAGCTGGAACCTTGTTTACAGGTGGAATTACCATAACAAAAGACGGCCAAGTTCTTTCTAAGCTATACCCTCAGGCCGGTGCTAGTGCAGAATCTCCAGGGAGCCAGAGGTCAAACGCCACAAAAAAGGGAAAAAGACCTGGGTACCTACACCAACACCCATACACACGTGTACATTCTTACGCACAGCTACACATAGTTAAAAATAAAGGCCCCTCCCCAAATGTCGCTAGGTAAGACTAAACTGATAGTTTCTTCACATTGTCACGGCAGAAGGGGAAGCAGAGTGAACCTCAGGCAGAAGCATGTTCAAAACTGCCTCCTCCCGCCCGACCTAAAGCCTCGGTTTCTGCTGCTTGCTGATTTCTTGGGTATAAATACTTTACTTTGGTTGACTTCAAAATGCCCTCTGATGGGCGTGCAACAGTTGCCTCCAGAGCTGGTCGGACTTGGTCACAACTGTGTACATTGTCTAAATTATGAGCATTTTGGGGCAGGGGTGGGTTTCTAGGGGGTTACACTGAGCCTGCAGTGTATCCATGAATCGGCATGTGTGTGCAGAACTTGAGAGAGATGTCTCCCTCTTTCTCCACCTACCAGGAGAGTGAATCCTAGCCTGGGCTCCTGGAAGGAGAACCCAAGCTGCTCACTGCTCACTAACCTCTTGACCCCTCTGAGGGTCACAGAAGTGTCACTTCAAAGAGGCGAGGTTGCCTGGCGACCACTCAAAAGGACCTTTAGCAGCAGTGGTGAAATCAGAAGATGGGAAGGGAGAAAAACTCCCAGGTTAAACGGGCCTGGATGGAGGTGAAGAGAATTTCTGAAGCAGGCTGGGGGGGGGGGGCAGGAAGAAGCTGGTGACCTCTAGAGAGCAAGCCCTGGAAAACGAAAGGACTGGAATAGTGTGGTTACTGCCAGGCAGTCGGGAAACAGTCTTAAAACGGGGGTGGGGAGGAGAAGGGGTCGGGATGGAGGGGGGGTGGAGAGTGGGGGGGATGGGGTCCGGGGGCCGGGGGCACCAACTCAGCTATCTAGTGAGACATGCAGACAGCATCCGAGGGCATATTAGATAAGATGTGGAGACCATGGCAAGCTGGAAGCTCACAGCCTGCAGGAAGACATTGGATGCTTTTCTCCCCACTTCCTTTTTATTTTTGAGACCCAGTCTCATGAAGCCCAGGCTTAACTTACCTCCGACTTACTTTGTAGCCAAGGATGACTTTGAACTCAGGCTCTTTCCTCTTCTATCTTCCCAGGGCTGGGATTATAGACCTGAGTTGACACATCTAGTTTGAAGACTGTTTTTTAAAAATTTTGTTTTTTGACATTAGAACAGAAGCAAATAGGTCTGCGGTTTAGTTGCAGGTCTCTACTAAGTGAGTGGTCACAAAGTATCTGTTCAAGGGGTTTATTATTATTATTATTATTATTATTATTATTATTATTATTATTATTATTATTATAGCAGCAATAATTAGGGAATATGAAGCAGCACTTCACTGTTTAGCCTAGAGTGGCTCTCTAATGAGTTCCTTCTGCATTAGCATCCGGGTACTGGGGTTATAGTCTCGAATCATTATGCCCAGTGCCTGCTCCCTCCCCCTATACCACCTCACCTGAAGTACCATGGTGCAGGGGAGGGTGAGTACTGGCCTCCATGTGTTTAAGGCATAGGCAGCAAGGGATGAATTTTCTCCACCAAATTTTGATTAATAAAGGAATGAATTCTTTTTTCATATCTTGCTTGCAGTTTCCCCTCCCTCTTCTCCTCCAGGTCCCTCCCCCTTCCTCCCTACCTCCCTCTACCTACTTCCTCTTCTGCCATCTACTCCTCTGTTTCTTTTCAGAAAAGGGCAGCTCTCCTGTGGCCATCAATAAAGCATGGCATACCAATTTTCAGTAAGACTAGGCACCTCCCCTCATATTAAAGCTGGATAAAGCAACCCAGTATGAGGAATAGGGTCCCAAAAGCTGGCAAAAGAGACAGAGACAGCCTCTGCTTCCACTATCGGGAGTCCCACAGGAAGGTCAAGTTATACAACTATCACACACGTGCAGAGTGCCTAGGTCAGTCCCATGCCGGCTCCCTCGTTGTCCATTCAGTCTCTGTGAGCCCTTATGAGCCCAGGATAGCTGATTCTGTGGGTTTTCTTGTGTACATCAAATTTTAAAACAATAATCAAACTAAATTTAGCCTCCCCGTTCCCAGTCACACAGTCTTGCTATGTAGAGCAGGTTGGCCTTGAATTCATGATCCTTTTGTGGTGTGGGAGAATTATCTGTATTCTGCCAACCATATATTTTAATAAAACGCTGATTGGCCAGGCAGGAAGTATAGGTGGGTCAACCAGACAGGAAGTAGAGGCGGGGCGATGAGAACAGGAGTATTCCAGGAAGGAGGAAGTCCCTCTGCCATTCCTGTGCAGACCACTGAAGAGGCAGCATGTAACCTGCCCAGCTGAGAAAGGTACGGAGCCATGTGCTAACATAGATAATGATAATGGATTAATGTAAGTTACAAGGACTAATAAGGAGCCTGACCTAATGGGCCAATCAGCTTTATAACTTGTAGAGTTCTCTGTGTGATTAATTTTCTTTGGGGCTTGCCGGTTGTGGGGTACTGGGCGGGACAGATACCCCAACAAGCCAGCCCTCATGCTACACTTTTGCTTTAGCTTCTAAGTGCTGGAATTACGGGTCTGCACCACCATGCCTGGCTCAGTATGCTTTTTATTATCACCACGTGCTTGCCATTCTGATTGATATATTCCTTCTTGCAAAACAAAACACAACAAAACATCTGTTGTTGGTCTAGATTCCAAATAATTGCCACTGCCATTGCTAAGATTTACCAGTGCACACATACGCGTGCACATCTATACGTTTCAAGTGAATCCCTTTAAATAACTGTGAGCTGGCACTGCGCTCTGCACAGAGGTTAATATGGAGAATTAACCCCTCTTTCAAGTGTTTCATCAACAGCATTTATTTCCAGAGTTAGAAACTAATGATATGAATCCCCTCAGTTCCAAGCTCTGGGGAAACCACAGTGCCGACATTTAAGGAGCAGATTCCAAATCAACAATGCTTACACGGGATTGCAAGTGGAGAAACAGGTTCCCAGTTCCCCCAAGTTCTGTTGTTCTGTGCGACCATTGCCGGAACTTAGAAGGGCCATCTAAAATGCCTTGTTTCCATCAGGGCCTGGATGCCTGTTCAAATCAGCATGCTGGGCCTGCTATGGGGTGCATGTCTGTGATACCAGTACTCAGGAGGCAGAGGCAGGAGGATCAAGAGCTCAAGGCTGGTCTTGGCTATACGCTGAATTCCCAGTCGGTCTTTCTGAAATCTTGTCTTAAACTGAACAGCAAAAAACAAGGGGGCTGGGGGGGGGGGTTTGGCCCAGCAGCGCTTACCACCCTTGCAGAGGACCCAGATCTGGTTCCCAGAGTCCACATGGCAGCGAGCAGTCAACTGCAGCTCCATTTCCAGGGGACGTGGCCCCTGTGGAATCTTGCACTCGTATGGTGTGCCTACACTTGCAAGCAAACACAAAACGTAAATAAAATAAATAATAAATAGATCTTAAACAGCTGCAGCAACAAAATCAAATATAAATCACTGTGTCCAATAATGCTAATGTTTACTGCCACAGCCGTTTTCTCCAACTGTGACCGAGGGAGAATCTCAGAAGCTTACCAATGACAATAGAAATCAATGGTGACTTTTCTGGTAAAGCTACCTTAGCCAAAATTTCTGACTGCAGAGATATCTGAATGAGTATGGCTAGGTTTATTAAACTGGTGTTTATCAGCATGAACAACAACATGCTAAGATCAATTTTGACATTTACTTTAAGACACAAAAATAGAAATTGTAGTAATTAATGCTTTGACAAAGGTATGTGGTGTGTGGGGTGTGTGGGGTCCAGTGTTGAAAAGTACTGAGGTAATTAAAACACGAATCCATCATTTTCGTTTTTGCATTTTCACACAGTTTTTACTGGCACAGACATATACATATAGACGCATGTATACAAAGCTCGATAAGAGAAAATAGTGTTGTCTGTGTTCTTCTCCTGGCCGTTGTTATTATTGTGGCTTGTTGTAAGACTCAACTGCTGACAGTTGATACAAAGAGAAAGAGCTGCTAAGGATCTTCTGTGTGCAGTCTCTGGTGTGCCTTAACCCTCAGTCTACCTCAGTCTCTCAAGTGGGGACTCCAGCAGCAGGAGTTCCTGATTCTCTGGTGTGGGCTTCATGCCGGCAGAGGGTGCCGACCATGACTGCCTAATGGCCTGGCTTTGCAGTGATTGTGGAAGTCTCGGTTTTACAAGTGTGAGCCTGTGGTCAAGGAGTGAGTGAGTCTTACACCCACTTGTAAATGAGAACATCCAGGGGCCTGGCAGTCTGCATGGTGTCTGAAGCTTCCCCAGAACAAAGGCCTGACTTTGGGCGGAAGGGAGGAACTGGCTTTGCTCTTCTGCTGGTCCCGGTTCTTGCCAGAACATGACATTGTGGTTCCATACTGGGCAGGCTTTGCAGAATGGGGAGATAAGTGTTTTAGGGTTTCCATCGATGTGGTGAAATACCATGAGCAAAGCAGCTTGGGGAGGAAAGGGTCTATTTGGTTTCGGCTTCCATAGCACTGTTTATCACCGAAGGAAGTCAGGACAGGAACTCAAACAGGGCAGGAACCTGCAGGTAGGAACTGCGGCAGAGGGCATGGAGGAGTGTTGTTTATTGGTTTGCTCCTCATGGCTGCTCATCCTGTTTTGTTTTTGCAATTGTATTTTTTATTGGAAAACAAATAAACAATTTGGAATGGATTTGTGACAAATTGAGCCATAAGCAGACTTTCTTTAAATGGATCAACAAAGTTTAAAAAACAAGCAATAAAAGAAAATGTCTCTGGTACAATAAGCATCAGCGGTATGGAAAAAACAATAATGTACAAGTACCTGGACAAAACGCGTTTTGCAGGAGAGCAACTTTGAGTACATGTTGTTGACTATCTGCAGTCCAAGTGGAGTTTCAACTCCACGCTTCAACCACAACATGCTGACAGTTCCTAAAAACCACTCTAGAAAAAGGAATAACCCAGATGTTCCCCCATTTGACCAACTCCATCTAAGTTCAGGCGCGCAGAAGGGCTTGATGTAGCCAGAGTAAGCCACATGCAATTTTCCAAACTAAGGTTTAAGGACAAGGTGGGTAAGATAAGGGAAGGAAACAAGGAGGAATGAAGTCCTCATTGCTAGACATACATATTTTGTTAACAGTAGGGGGGAAGCCTTTTACAGATAAGTCACAAACAAAGAAAAGGCAAACAAACAATTGTGTCCAAGGCACTTAACACAGTCTGTCCAACATCTTCACTTTGCTGCCATCATTTGTACAAAGGCTTCTTGGTTCCCCTGACCACCGCCATCGAAATCTGCTTCCCCAATCATTTGATCAACTTCTCCACCTGCTAGCTTCTCTCCAAGGTTAGCCATCACAGCCGAAGCTGCGTTAATCCAGCCGTGGCCGTCCTTGTCAAACACGCCGAAAGCTTCCCTAATTCCTTCCTCACTGTCTGTGTCTTTCATTTTTCTTGCTGTTGTTGTCAGAAATTCAAGGAAGTCAGTTGTGTTCTTACCGTCTCCGTCTACATCACGAATCATGTCCTGTAGCTCTGCTTCTGCCCGAGAGACCTCATCACAGTCCCTGCCTGGTTGTTACAGTTCCATCACCATCTTTGTCAGATAGTGAAAAAAACTTCTTTGAGTTTCTCAGTCTGCTTGTCAGTCAGTTGGTCATCCATGCTGGAAGGCTTACCAGCTTCTGAGACTGAACCACACAACCTCTTGACATGTTCACTCCACTCCAACTCCTGTTTTCTTATAGAAAATCTAGGACAGACTGATAGACAGAAGACAGGGCTCTGGCAGCGACAAAAGCCCGAGCTGGCAGTACTGGGTGTCCACCCAGAGATGGCTCAGGCAGGGGTTTTGGTCATCACCCCTTTGCCTCATTCAGTCAGGTGTCTGACCCTTTGCCTCATTCAGTCAGGTGTCTGAAGCCATCACGTGCCTGGGAGAGCAGGCGGCAGCATGGAGACACTCCAACAGCAGCGGATTTCTTGGAAGCTGTTAAAGTTATTGATTTAAGTCCTGACAGGCTCAAGGGCACTCAGAGAGTCTCTCAAAGAGAAATCAAACTGTTTCCCCAGGTGACTCCTGATTTTTACTCAGGCAGAGGTCTAAATCTATTGAGGTGAAAGCAACTGGGTCTCACCTCTGGAACAATCTGGGGAGACCTATAAAGTTTATTGATTTGACTTACTTAACTTACCCTGGCTAATACTAAAACAACTAGACCCATCAATCAGACCCCTCGAGAGAGCGATTACAGGGTGGATTGATTCCTTCTCAGAGGTGACAGTTAAGGGGAGTTCTCTAAGGGTGTCAGGACAGTACCTTGTGTCCCTTCGCCTAGCACGGTGACCTTCTAGAGCACTGCATCAGGGAAGCCACCTCTCTGGAAGGCAGCCAGGAGTTCTCTGGAAAGAGGCTGCAGTGGCCCCTTTGGATGCAGAGAGCCACACGGCCGCATGGGGGAGAGGTGTGGGAAGCTGCCAGATTTCGCTTGCCAGGGAAAGAGAAGAAAAAACCGTCACCACAGGGTAAGGAAGGAGGGTGGATGCAGAGGGGCAGGCAGCCAAGATGACTGAGCAGTACAATGGCCTTGAAGTCCCAAGCCGGGCCTGCCAGAGGACGCCTCGCAGACCTGCATCAGCTTTAACGCAAGGGACTTGCAGCGGGAGTCATTCTCTGGCTCACTGTGTTTTCTTGCCTCAAGAAGCAAGGTATGCAACTACCCAGGGTTACCTGCAGACTCGTTGGAGGGATCAGATGTTTCCATCTCAATGACATGCGATCCGAGTCCTTGGATGATACCATCCAATTAGTGGCATTGTAAGTGCAGTGGGGACTCAGGAGAAAGGTACCTTGTGAGAACTCAAAGGCTAGGGAAGGTTCCAGAGAGGTCAGACTAGTTCAAGAAGAACATGGGAGAACTGATGAGCAAATCCATCTTCCAGAAACATGGTATCCAAACCAGGCATGATAGTATATGCCTGCTTGTAATCCTAGCCCTTGGGAGGCTGAGCATGGGCTACACATGGAGACCTTGTCTCAATAAAGGGAAGGGAGGGAAAGAAGAAGGAAGGAGATAATTACTGTGCAATTTGACACCCAAGTTTATAAAGATGGGTGCTGGGACTATATTTCAGTTGGTAGAGTGCTTGCCTAGCTTGCATGAAGCCCTAGGTTCCATTCTCAGTATGGTAGTCAGACTTTATTTGAACTCCCAGCCCCCAAATAATGACATGGAGACTTATTATTAATTATGAAAGGTTGGCCTTTAGCTTAGGCTTGCCCCACTAGCTCTTATCACTTAAAAACTTGTTCCTATTAATCTACGT